CAGACCTCACTTCTCTTATGACGGAAGAACCGTTAGAAAAGAGAGACATGGGGTTGCAAGACACGACAGGCAGAATGCTAAGCTAGTAAGAAACTATGACAAAATCAACGAGGAGCAACTAAAGGTAGCTGCTGAGTGTTTAAGTTGGTTTCCAGTTTCATTTGAACTAACAGTCGGAGAGCGATGGGTGGCAATACGAGAGGGTTTACTACGGTTAACACAAGATTTCGCTCCCTTGGTTCCGCATAGATCCAGAAGCAGACATCCTTGGTGGTTGCCTAGAATAGAAAGAGCGCTCACGTCTCGTAGAAGGTGCTGAGCTTTCTACAAGCTTCACAGAACGCATAGTTCTTGGGTCAACTACAAGCTGGCTAGAAATAAGGCACAGGCAATGCAGCGGGAATAAGTTCGAGTGTGAAATGAAACTAGCTAGAAACATCAAAACAAACCCGAAGAGGTTTTCACCTTATATACAATCCAAGGGAACCACACGTGAAAGTGCTGGTACCTTGGAGATGGCAAAAGATAACATAAACAGAACAAAAAAGGACCGGGCCGAGACGCTGATGGACTACTTCAAAACTGTCTATATTTCGTCTCAGAGTTATTCAGCTCCCAACCCTATGGTGGATACCATTGCAAAGGAACTGCAGATATTAACCGTGCGTGAGGACGTGGTACGAAACGAGCTCAGAATCGTGTGCAAGCATCAGGTGGGGGGACTTGATGAGATCCACCCAGCTATTGTCCAGCCACTAGCTGAGGTCATACTAGGACCTGTCACTGATTTGTTTAAGGCTTCACTGACATCCGGCGTAGTACCAGAGGACTGGTGGAAGGCAACCGTGGTAGTAATATACAAGACGGGGTCTAGACAGAAGGCGGAAAACTACAGGCCGATCAGTTTACCATCAGTGCTGTGCAAATGCCTGGAAGGAATAGTCAGAAAACAAATATGTGCGCACCTGGTGACTCATGGACGCTTATCTCCTGCACAGCGCGGTTTTACCAGAAATAAGTAGTGCTTAACCAATCTACTTATGTTTTTGGACGAGACTACGCGTAGATTAGATCAGGGTAGGGCAGTGGAGGTATGTTACCTAAACTTCAGCAAGGTTTTTGACCCGGTGAGTCTTACGTTGCTTGACAGGAAACTGCCTACGTTTGGAATAGTCGGGTCAGCGCCTCAGTGGCTGAAACAATTTCTCAACAACCGTAGTTTCGCTTTACGGGTTGGCAGCTACACATCGCGATCAGAGAGGGTTACAATCTGGGTGTCCCAGGGCTCTGTTCTTGGGCCTCTTCTTCCCCCTCTTTTCATCAGCGATTGCACAACCCCTGCTTCATCTTCGCGAACGATGTGAAGATAGCGGGTGCAAACTTAACCCAGGACCTAAATGCAATTCGCAGCTGGCCGGCTCGATGAGATTTACCCCTGAATTTTGTCAAGTGCCGGCTACTGACTACCAATATAGACTCAACTGGGGATGCAGCGCCACGAGGCACGACGGAGGTAAAGGGTCTAGGAATAATTGTCACAAAGGACTTCCGGCCTACATGGCAATGTCAGATGGCTGCAAAGAAAGCAAGAGGAGTACTCTTCAGGCTGCGGACCACAGTCACATACAGGAAGCCAGAAGTGTTCGTTCCGCTTTATAAGGCAATGGTGCGTCTACTGCTGGAATACTGCATGCAAGCTTGGATCCCATACTATCGCAAAGATGTGGAGTGGTTAGAGAGGGTGCAACGACTGGCAACCAGAATGGTCACTGTACAGATAAAAAAGAGCTACTCGTAGCGTTTGCAGGACCTAAATTTCTTTTCGCTGTCACGCCGAAGGACCAGGGTCGACTTGATAGAAGCCCTTAATATAGTTTAGGGGCTGTTTAGCATAGAACTAAGCAGCCTCTTCGTTCCTGCACTAGAGTGCTGCACTAGAGGTCATAACCTTAAGCCGCAAAAAGAGCAATCCAGGTTGGAGATGAGGGCCAGGTTCTTCACAAACCGGGTAGTGCCTTTGCGCAATAGATTGCCGGAGAATGTCATAAGCTGTTCAGCAGTTGTGGCCTTTAAAAGAGCCTTGGATCTGTACTGGGAAGTGGTATTTCCGGAGCTGGCCTCTTGACAGAAAATAAAGGAACAAGGTGAGTTCGTTCCTATATTGTCCTACGCGTTGACCTACGCGCGTGGTATCAACTTTCGGAGCATGTGGTGAAACTCGAGGAAATCTTCAAAGCCCACAAATCATCCCACGGTGGATCCAGGTCTAGCTAAAATCGACCGGTACTCGCCTAAGGGTCAGCTCAGGATGCGACGGTGAGCTTAGGCTTTACTTGTTGCCTTCTGTGAGGAAACTTGGTGAGTCCAGTGTCAGCGTTAAATTTGGCTTGTGGTTGATGTTCCTAGTCATTTTATGTTCTGCCTCTCTCTGTTTTTTTTCATTATACATCTCTCTCATTTTTCTATCATATTAATCCCAAGTTATATCCGTTACCCTAAGGCTCTTTAAATCTACCCTAATCATCAGAACCTACCACCCGGATACAGTAGGTTATTTCCTGATGACCACGAGAGCTGTGAGCAGAAAATGCTTACCAGCCAAAATGGCTAGCCCTAAAACTGGGGCCAGCGTATTTCCCTGTGGGAGAACAGATTGCCTAGCTAGCGTAAGCTAGGGTATCTGCTGCAACTTTCGCGATACCTGGTATCACCGGAAGTGCAGCAAACTGGCTGATCGGAGCCCCTGAGACCGTCAAACGAGAACCTTCAGAACTCATCTGTTTCACAACGTGAAGTGCATATATATTCCATGACAGTCATTCTGTTCTGCTCCACCATATCCGCTCTTGTGCTGGTTTCCGTCCAATGATCTGCAGGCCGCCTCTTGTTATTTTACTCACTGCCTGTCGTGTTTCCAATCATCCCACCATTCATCCGATATAACAATTCTTATTTTTCGTCCTACTTCCACCGGCTTGCTCTCTTGGAGCATTCCGCCATCCCCAACCTTTTTTCATCTGATACCTTGTCCACTCTGTGTTCCATTTGTAATTATGCCCACTGCGACCTTCATTGTTTTTCCTTTTGGGCTTCTTCTGTACGGAGGATTATGTTGTACATTTGATTATGCCTATGCATGACTCACGGGGTTCCATGAAATATACACTTATTATTATTATTAAGGCCTACTGTCTCTACACCGAGCACAAATGCCTAAAATGAGTTTTTTATGCGTCCGCCAACTTTTTTACGCAGGCAGCCAAAGAAAGGCTGCTTACCCCTTTACCCCACCTGAACCGGATGCTCAGGTACTGGCACCACTAAAGCCAAGTGCGGGTAGTTCACCGCAGAAAAGGACCGTTCCAACCCTTGCCTCACACTGTAGCTCCTTCCTAGATGTCACAGTGATAGAAAGGAAGAACATTCAGCCCATCATCGACCATCGGGATATGAAACGTCTTAGGGATGACATGGCACGTCAACTGAAGGCGATCACTGACTCCCTAGCCAACCAAGCCACTCAATTTGCCAGAGTAGCCAGGTTAGCCACATCGAATTCCAACCCATCGAGGCGAACACCGACATCGCTCTCGGGAGGCATAGAAATGTAAGAATCAAGGTCTTAACTGAGCCTTTCTGTCAGGTAGCAAAGCGGAGGGGAGCGGTAATAAGGCACCGTGTCACCTACCTCCTCAGACTATCAGGCACTCCTCCTTAAGCAACAATAAAGAGGGTGCTACAGCTAGGAAAATGGTCTCCAAAAGGAAATAAGGGGAGACCTGTGCTTGTCGAGTTCAGCAACCCTCGGCACCGTGATTCTTTCCTCGCAGCTTCTGCCCAACTGAAGGCAGAGACAAAAGGGGCAATATCCCTAGAAAGGGTCGATTAGAGAAACTGCATTCGAATGTAACACCCATGAAGTTACCTTCTCTGCGACAATCTAAGGTGGTAATAAAGGTGACAAAAGAAGCACCCACTGCTGCTGTACCTCCTACTAGCCGGCCCGGGTCACACCCAAGTCAACCAACAGCCACCCAACCTAAAGCGCACGCCCAGGCTAGAAACGCCTGGCATACCCCGTAAACCCTCCGTTGCAAAAAACGTAGGGCTCACTCGGGACTAGAGACCAAATGCTGCTCCAAGTTCCCATCACTAGCCACAGATCAGGCCTGCGAGTGTTCAGCACAAATGCTTGCAGCCTGGGGAAACAAATAGGGTTAACCTCGGAGTGCATTCACTCCAACTGCATAGCGATAACCGAAACCTGGTTTCGACCGAATGAAGACATCGAGTCGTTAAAACCAAAAGGTCTCACTGTCTTCAGAACCGATAGGGAAGACAATCGCATAGGGGGGAGCACTGCTCATGACCAGCGAGCAGCTCCAAACTGAAACAGTCGCTCCCTTGAACACACGTAACATCCAGGTAGCGGCCTGTGCGATACACCTCCCCACAAAGAAGCTGGCGGTAGGCTGTGTTTATCGCAGTCCCTCAGCATCCCAGGTGGAGGGTGAGCAACTACTATCATACCTCAAACAGTTTAGCCACGGGTTAACATGCATGTTAATTCCGGGGAACTTTAATGCCCCGAAAGTTGACTGGGATACCACGTGGGCACCACCAAGCAGTTTTGGTCACTTGGTGGTAAATTTTACCCTTAACTGCACTGTAGTCCAAAACGCCAACCACCCCACGCGTTATCGTAGGGAGCAAAACCCTGGGTTATTGAAACTAGTCCTGAGTAAATATCCCACTGATGTGGCTGACCTGGAACCTCCCCACCACGTGGTAGGAGTGACCATGTAGTACTGCGTTTCTGTTTACAGGAAAACGGCCCAAATCCTTACATACAATGGAGGAGAGCCTTCCACAGAATAAACAGTAACTCCCTTAATGAAAGAGCCTCTGAGCTACACTGGGGGGAGCAGCTCAACACTATAGAAGGGCTTTGGACCACAATTAGTTCCGACCTATTACTGCTCACGTCGGAGTTTTCTCCGCTAAGGAGGATCCGCAGAAATGGCAAACTCCCCTGGTGGCCCAGCAGGGTAGCAAGGGCACAAATCCGAAAGCGTCAAGCTTGGAGCCAGTACCTCAGGATCCGTAGCCACCAAAGGTATCTCCAATACCTCAGGGAGAGAGACAGGGCGAGCAGTGCCCAGACGGCTTGCCGTAGGGCCTTCTAAACGGGACTGGTACGGAGGATTAAAGAATGCCCCAAGGCATTCTCCAACTACGTGCAAGCTAACTCTAAGCTGCGTACGGCTATAGGCGCTCTTAAGCACGAGAGCAACCATCCAGTCCTAGCCAGCTCTGAGAAGGCGTAACTCTTCAGACGGTCCTTTGAAGAAGTTCAGGATAGAGCCATCGGGGCACCCTGGGGTCAACAAACTCCGAAGCCCACCTCACATATGCCAGACTGCAAAAATCTTCCCCAGGTGATTGAGGACCACCTGAGGCGTCTAAATACATGCAAATCGGCAGGATCATATGGTATCCACCCAGCCATACTGAAAGCATGGTAGCAGTCTTCGCCAAACCACTGGCCCGTCTGTTTAACCTATCCCTTTGTCACGGCCAACTTCCAGAAGACTGAAAAATAGCAGAGGTGGTGCCTATCCACAAGGGAGGGCCCAGGGACTCGGTAGGAACTTATGGGCCGGGCAGTCTGCTGCCTATTTCACTGAATTTTATGGAAAGAATCCTCAGAGATTGCATAGCAGAGCACGTTCTAAGCCGCACAAGCGCACGCGTTCAAAATTGACATGGAAATCAGGTCGTCTAGTTTTTGTTTTTTATATTTATATTTATTATAAGCTTTTGCGTTTATTGTACTGCTCTTGCAACATCACTATAGGCCTTTGTTTATAAAAAAATAAGGTACTCATCCGCTTCTATAGTCATATTGCAGGAGTAGCATAGATACTCATAATAGATAGTACGATCAAGGTTGTTACTGTTGCCTACGCCAAACGGGCTATCTTTGACACCATACACCATAAATGGTGTTTAACAAGTTATCGCTATATCGGCTAACATACCTATTTTACTGAAAAACCTTAGTAGCCCCTCCGTGACCTATCTTCACACAATGCTGCGACACACCGTAGAACGCCCAAAAGCCCGGGCTAGTAGAGAAGCGGCTAGTATCGGTCAGACCACCATTCCCCTCAAAAATTGCTCTATCCCCTTAGTGACTGTGTACAGTGATTCAATTAAAATAACTTTCAAGATCGACAGCAGCATCACAAACCTTAAGCGTAGGCTAGAATCCCTAGAACTAGTTACCTCAACTCTAGCTCCACTTGTTTCTCTCATAGACCCCTAGACCAAGCCTATGAGTAACCTCGCTCAGGCTGGGATGTTGCTTGATTTTCTTGCATCCGAATTGTTTAGGCGCATCTCAAACTCAAAATATGCAGTTGTTTTTAATGTGCCAGACAAAATCCCCTTAGCCTAAATTAAAGGCACTATCCTGAAAGCCTCAAACGTGGACAGGTACCCATGCAACTGAATTAGACTCCGGAAAAGATCTCAGCGGTACTCGTGCCCACTTCTCTTCCAATTTCCAAACGACATCTTGGCAAAGGAGTTTATAGGTAAACGAAACGAGGTAGCGGAAAATACTTCGTTCAAAAACAAAAAGTCTACCCTGATAATACCCCGCTCCAAAGGGCTAAACGGAAAATGACTATACTAAATCAACAGCCGCACAGACCCCCTGTTTTATCCAATTCTAGTTTCCCCAGAGCTAGCCCACAGGCACCAGCCGTAGGCCTCATACTCCAAATGTAGACCTCGATGCATCTTGTTCGAGTTCACCCAAACCTCCACCACCTAAGCGTCCAAACCTTTCACGCCTGAGCCCCGAAACAATTGTCTGTACGACTCAGCCGGTAATACTACCCTCCTTACGTGAGGACATTCCTCGACCCCAAACGAAGAAGTCATCAAGCATGACTACTTTACCACTCCAAACCCCTATTCCAATCCCCCAAAAGCCCTTAAGTACAAATGGATCTGTGAGGCACGTTACACACCAGAAAATCTTGCGGCCTTTCCGGGGGATGAACCTGGCCTTAATCGAACTGTATCCCGTA